GCTGCGGGTCCCTGCAGCGCTGCTTTGCCGCCGGCCCCTGCGCAGGCTCCGAGCTGCAGGGCAGGTGGGAGCCTGGCAGCCGCAGCCGGGTGGGTGCGCAGGCAGCTCGGGCGCATCCGCCAGTTAGAGGAGGGAAAGTTACCGGGTACTCCTCAAGTTTGACTTCTCGCGGCTTTCTGCGCAGCCTCGCGGCTTCCAACGATTACAGTCCCGCTTCTTTGCTGCTTCTTTCCCGTGCCTCCGGATTTCCCCCATCCTGCTTGTCTTCGCCCACGTCTCAGGGCAACTCACCTGGAGAACCTGGTGACATTTTGCGTACTTTGGTGGGTTTTTTAGCAGTACTTCTAATGGTGCTCTGTATGTGTCACAGATGATGGAACTGAACCCCCGAGGCGTCTCCAGGAAGAGCAATCTTCGGCCCTCGTCGGGACAAATATTTATCAGTGTCCTGGCTGTGCCGGCAGAAAGGATTTTCTGCCACAAGAAACTCTACCCTCAGCTGTTCCCCGCAGAGCACCACGATTTCATCTTCCTCCCCCCAACACCGTAATATTTTTTTTTCAGACGTGTTTTTTTTTTTTCTCTTTCGTAGTTCTCTCACTTAAATTGCGTTTATTTCCCCATGCTACTACTCAAATTCATCCTCGTGCGATTAGATTTAGGAGACTTAAAGAGGCATTACTGTGCCGTTTCCAGGTTATCTTTATAATTCCATGTACCTGTCGTTAATGAAGGTGAATTTTAGTCTCCCCCTTCCCCAAGGGCCTAGGCCCAAATACCCACTAAGGTATTGGCTACATGGGAGAGGACCCCAAATACCTTCTTTGACTCTGTGATGCCGTAATGTTAGACGTTATTATGAAAGAAAAGCTGTATAATTATATGTTTTTAAAGCATTAATAAATATACTTCTATATTTATAATATACATACCCATTTCTCTATTACACTGAGATTTAATGTATTTTTCCTTTTCTTGTATAACAGAATACTTTACTGGAACTTTAATTTTGAATTCCTAATAAATTAAAAACATAAATTTTGAATTCTCTAATAAATCCAATAAAAATCCTGCTGTGACTCCTGCAAGAAATCAGTCAAGATTAGTCTCAGTGTTATGATAGGTATGAATCAGGTTGTGCTGGTCCTGATTCTTCAAAGCCTAAACTAACAAAAAGTTTAAAAGAAGGAGACTTATCAGACTCTGTGTATTTAGTCATATCTGAGTTGAGCAACTGTGGTACCATTATCTTCACATTTAATTTTATTCATCCTATGTCTGCAATCTGCTGCCAGTTTTCCAGAGATGGGGGATCATGTCTTCGGTGCTCTTTGTCTCCATTTAAGCTCAGCTTTTGGGATTCCTTGCTACAGGCCAGCTGCAGCAGCCTCACTCCAGAAGGACACTACCAGGCCAGAGCTTTACCCTGGAGCTGCTCAGCTGCAGAAAGATTGCAATGCCAGAGGGGTATCTATGAATTCTAAAAATATGAAACAAAATAAAAAGTTTAAACAGGCTGGGATCTCTTTTTAATTTAAATTTTAACAACAACAACAACCACCAAAAAAAACCCCAGCAACAACAACTGTTAAAGTGCCCTCTGTTAGACTTTGAGGGCTAAGTTCACTGCAAAGTGTAATAAACTTCACCATGGTAGGAAATTTTTATGGCTTGTGGACAACATGGCCATGAATGCAGAGATATCTGAGATAAACATGACTTCATGTTCAGCTACTCCTGCTTCAGGCTGCAGCTTTACTAAATTCAGGGTCCCTCTCAGGTGTGATTGTGGCTGTAGGTTTCTGGATCTTTGTTGTCCCCTTTGCTGCCTCATGCCAGTGCAGAGATGCCAGCAGTGTGTGCCAGCCAAGCTGACCGGTGCTGCAGACACCCTTCATACAGCCCAGAACTGATATTTCCCCTTCCCTGTGCCACCCCACCAGCAGTGTGTGCCTTTATGTGCATCCTCTTTCAGACAGAAACTCTGTTCCTGGTGCTCTAAGAAGTAGCTGCCTTCACTGTGTCTTTTCCAGGATGAGTGAAATCTCTGGAAATTAATTTATCTGCAGGCATGATGTATCTGGAAGCTTAATGGGCCCCTAGACTAACTGGTAGGTGTATATCTCCTTTTTGACTGAGAATTTTTAGCAATAAATTTATTGAATGCTTTAAAAATTAATTATTCGTATTCAAAAGTTGTGTCTAAATTATTAAACTATTTTGAAGTGTGACCAAAAGGAACTAAGAATACAAATATTTCTTATATTTGGATATCATCTGAAGTGGGTGAAAGGTTAACTCAAAAGTACCAGCATAGCTTTTATTGATGCTTTAAAAAAAAACAAAAAAACAACGGCCCCCACCAAAAAAAACCCAAAAACTTTTGAGCTGAGGATAAATAAAATAATTAGCACAGCCATAACAAATAAAACACAGACATAGCTCTGGTATCTTCATCTGCTTTCAATTCCTTTTTGCTAAAGAGTTTCATCTCGGTGTGTCCTATCAGTCTGTTCCTTCTGCTGAGAAAATCCTAAGTATGAATAGGTGATAAAAGTAGATAACAATGATAACAAGTAAAGGGCAAAGCCATTGTTCAGCCAGACACTTCGTTGTATATTACTGTAACAAAATTATATTTTCTGCATCTGTGTCAACTGAAGGAAAGACAAGAAATATTATATGAATTGAAGTCAAAATCTGAAACTGCAGAAATTATTTCTTCTAAAATGCTGAGCAAGCATAATGTCAGGGTTTTTTTGATTGGAAGTACACGTGCCACTAGAGGTCCTTCATGGTCAGATTATGTTTTCCTCCACGGCATTTTGGGAGGGTTTTTTCTATTCTTTTATCCGTTGTATACTTGAGAACTATAATTTCTAAAGATGCTTCTTTTGTTTAATGTATTAAATTCTTAGAATAATAGAGTGATTTTATCATGATTAAACCTTTTCTGGGAAGATACCAGTATGATTTTTCAGATAGCATTTCTTCAGTAAAAGCTCTTGTTTTATTATGAAATAATAAATGTTATTTATTTTTACTTCTATAACTGCATTTGTTCAATTTTCCGATTTTTCATTGTCTTATTCCATGTCTTCAACATAATCACTTTTTTCTTAGAAAAATGAAGGAAACAAATGTCAAACTAATGAGTGAAATTAGGATAAACAACAGGAGCAATGAAACAAGATGTAAGGTTGTTTTTTTCTTCTGTGTCATTAGTTTCTTACTTTTCCTAGTCAGAAATTGGTCTAAAGTGTCTAGACACTGTTTGGAAGAACTGTGCAGCCTTGGGACTGACATTAAATTTATCACTGCAGAACACAACGTAATTTATTGGGAAATTAGCAGCAGATTCATAGCTCATTAGTTGGAAATGATTAGGAACTAAGGCAAAGAAATACTTGCTGTTCCTGGGATGGTCATGAGCTGGAAAGCCCCGATAGCTGCACAGAGGGCAAATGGAATCACAGAACACATCAGCTGAAATCAAGACAGAGATGTGTTATACTGTACAAAGTTCTGGGGAAACTTCTGGAAAAGTGGGCTATGTGCTGATTACTTGTATTCGAGACAAATGTGCAGAAAGGTGCAAAAAGATCTGTGGGACACCATGGGTTCATTGCAAAGGCCCTGATAGCCAAAAGATTCCTTACTATCCTGTACTTTAAAAAAAAAAAAAAAGAAAAAAAAATCTGCAAATGAAGGAAATCATGTTTTTAAATTAAAATATTGTAATATTGTCTGAAATTCTCTAAATAAAATTTAATCTGAGAAATATAACAGTAAGATATTCCGTGGAAAAATACACCTTATGTCTGCACTGCCAGATCCTGGGGTGCAGGGGTAGTTCTGCTTCCTCTACTAAGAAGGAAATGTGAAGAAAGGTGTGTTTTCACATGGTAATGTCAAAGAGGGTATCTACTAAGCAAAAGCAACTGAATGTGGAGGGGTGAGAATTTCAATATGTGGTGAGTTTAATTTGTGACAAAATACCAGTAATGGAGTTTAGGCACTTGATTGTTATTGAAAATCACCAGAGCCAGCAGAACTGGTAAGGCAGATGCATTTTGGGGGCAGTCAGTACAAGGTCACACAAGTCTGTGCATCTGTAATTCTGAGCTCACACACCATCCTCACTTCCCACTCACCTGAAATGTGACCCCCCTGCTTGGAACTGTGCCCAGACAAAAAAAACAAAGTGGGGTTTTGTTGCAAATTTAGTGTTTCCAAGGCCTAAATAAACCAATGTGGGTGTTACTTTCAGTAATAACTAGCAAAATCTCAAAGTACTCTGGCTTTGCACCCAGTCCAAACAGAGCTCCCTCAAATCTTTAACCTTCCAGCTCTGACACAACAAATACAATACTGAAAGAGTTATTGGGACAACTGGAGATTACAGCTTCAAACCATGATCTCAGTCTCAGAAAGGAAGACATAATAAAGCCCAAGGACCATCAAAATTTAAGCCTATTTAGCAAATGTTGAAGACTCTTTTTTTTTAATCAAAACTCTCTGTCCCTGAAATAAAATAAAATATTCTTCAACCCCCTGACAGATTTATTTATCTTAAAAGAACTGTGTTCTCACAGTAGTTTCATGGAATAGCATCTAATACCTCTGACAGGATCCAATAGATCCTCTATAACAGGCAAGTTCTGCTCTTTGGACTATACAGAAAAATTTAGGATTTTAGTCATAAAAAGAAAGTCACGAACGAAATAGTCATTTTAGTACATTGACCCCATTTTTTCTTTATCAGAACACCCTATGACACTGCATTCAGCCTTGCTATTACATGAAAAATAAAATCTGTAAATTTAATTGCAGAACTTGCCAGCCTGAGATCTTTCTTGATTAAGGCTGTGTAGTATTCATTTTAGTTTACTTGCTTGTCTGTGATGGGATAGTGTTAGAGTAATTGAGACTTAGAGTAGTGAAAGCCAGAATCCACAATTCTATGCAGGAGTGTGAATGACAGACTTTGCCTTGTGTGGTGCATCTTTAAATCTTACCACTCACATACAGACTAGGGCTGAGAAGAGTCTAACTGGGCCCTGACTAAAGCAGGTTTAGGGGTAGGATAGTATTTTACAGGCAGGTGAGACCCATGTTTCCACTCCCTTTTTAACAGAAGAGTTGGGACACTCTTTCCATGATTGTTTTTACACCTTGCTGGCACTGGCACTTTTCCTTCACACCCTGGTGAAAAACTTGTAGGTAACATCATCTAAGGCAGCATTGCAATGGTCCACCACAAAAAAAACATGGATTCTAGGCAGAAGAAATTCTTCAATTAAATCAACTAGTGTAATTTGAAAAGAGTTCAGACTCTTTTTTCAGACACAC